TGTAAAAACCATTCATTTCGAAGGAGTCCCTCATTTTGCATCTTGTGGCGCCATGGACTTTAAATATTGCAAAATGTGCAAAAAAAGCAGTAAACAAACAAGTAAGGTACAAGCGTAACGTCGGCAGCGTCCGTCCTGACCATAGTACCTAATTGGAGGTTCATCAATATCCCCATTAATGGCAGTTTTACCTCATTTGATGTCGGAAGCGGACTGGGAGTATACAAATGGACATCTCTCCATTTGGCTGTTCGACTGCGGTTTGTGTGCTTGGGTGCGGCTCCTGTCGAGCTCCCAAATTGGGTGATCACGGGACAAAGACTTCGGCTTGGCTGCCTTGCCATGCTGGCGGACAACCAATAAGATTACGGTCCGTGTTTACGTACTATCTAATTGGTTGAAGTAAAATGCTGTTGGGGTCGGGTGGCTTCACTTTCCCATGGTTGCAGCATTTAAATAACCTTGAGCCCATAGTGAGTATTATGGTTGGTGATTGGCAGTTTTGTACGGAGCCATTCGAGGTTGTGCAATATGTCAGTAGAAGGCTTTGTAAGAAATCACCAGTCGCCCCTCCTCCCGTGACTTCAGTAGTTTCGCTTGATTGTGCTACTGAACCTCGCCGCTTACACGGTGGCGAGTGAGTATGCGTAATGGCATATCGATGGCAAAAGAATTGGAGCTCTTGTGAAGTGGACTGTGTTTCGTTGTCTGTCACTCACGTCTCTGGCGTCTCGTGTTGGAGATATCACAGGTACTATCTCCAGCCCCTTTGAAAGGGGATTCGCTTAAACGAGGCAAGGGACACAACGGACCGGTCTGATGAAGTCGCTGTGGGGTCGTAATCGGGGTTCGCCTGGCTGAGTCCAAGGTACTGGTGGGGATTACTGCAGATTTTTGTCGCCCTTTAGGAATGTCCAGAATATCGTCCATGCGTGGTTAGTAAAAAAAACTTCCGGTGATTGACTCTGTGTGACTGACGTCAGGATGATCAGTGTAAAATTGACGAAGTAACTTCAGGTAGCTTTTAATGATGTGTGCTGAGTCGAGACGATGGAAGAAGGATTTAACGTCGTCGCTTGGTAAGCAAAACAGTTACTTATTTCCAACAAAGGGCACTTCTACTGTCATTACGTCGTCGAACTTCATAGCCTCTTGATCCTCGACAGCAGTCATTAGTAGAGTCCTGATCTAGGTTGTCAAATCAGGCAGAGACAAATAAGTTGATATTGTCCTCCTTGACATGGCATGTCCCGGTGAATGGCACATTGCAGGAGCATGGGCATCAGTGAACTTTTTATGAAAAATAGAGTTGGTCATCACCAACACCAGAGTCTGGTTGAGTGGACCGGTGGTTTACTAAATTGACGCAACAGTTTCTCCAATTCAGTGATGTTCGAGCCCATGTCCAACTTTAGTCCCGCTTGACAGCCACTGTGATAAACCTCCGGGGGTCAGATGAGTTTTTCTGCAAAACATGCGATATTCGAGGCGAGTAATAGACTTACTTTGGTTGGTTTGACTGCGTTTCATTAGATCTTTGGTGGCTGTAGTTGAGCTGGATGGGAAGGCGAAGAGTAACATTACCCATCTATCTTAGGGGCAGTGTTACAATGGCATCACCGGTGATGTTAATGGGAAAAAAGCCTGGCAGACACCCAGGTCTCTCAGTTCCAGCGGGGAAAAGGGGGCTCTGTCTTAGCATCGGTGTGTAGGTTGAGTCATCGTCTAGCTTTAGACAGACTACGTCGATGTGGAATGGATTAGTTTGATTGGCGCACATCACAGACCTGGCAACTGTCGCAACCCCTTTGGGGAAAGTGGTGTCAACGTTTTTTAAAGTGTATCAAGGTGGTGAGACCTCGATACTTCTCATGTATTGCCTCCGGCTTCATTTTTAGATCCTCTTCCACATGACCTGGTAGGTTCACCCGAATGCCTGCAAATTTACGCGACTAGAACTGCTAATGAAGATGGATTTTTGAACCAGTCATTCGTGAAAGGGCTCATCTTGAATTATTTGCATGCGTAGTTTATGTTTCCAACTTGTTAAGGAACCCTCACTCTCATGCAACGAGCGCTCACCGAAGTGTTGCCGCGGAGACTTAGCCGTGTGGATTTTGTGCCAATATCAGGTTGCAGTACTGACTAAACTTCACTGAAGCCAGTTTTGAAGTGGAGAACGAACTAATTCGTTGCAAGATCAACGTTGAACAAGTCCTTCTATAGTTTGAACCATGCATCGGACGTAACGCTGTCCTTTAGCCTATAGTGCGACTCCATTATGTTATTTGCAACGTCGCCTACTTTTACGGCTATTACAGGTGGCTGCAGGCGCGGAATGAAAACCTTCCGCCTGTGTTTACAACTCCGTCACCTTCAATTGTCGTTGTTTAAGCTTTGCCAGGTCGATGACCTCAACAAGGTCGCCAAATGGCAAACACTTTTAACCTCCATCCAACCAGTTTACCATAGTCCACAACAAAATTTTTCACCATCTCGTAATTATTGGCTGATTAGCTGAGAAAGTTGCATGTGATCAATAGACCGGGGTGAATTGGATGGATCTAAGGGAATAATTTAAATTGGGTTTCACTTGGTTGAAGGCGAATGCAATCAGCTATGCACCTTTAATAGCCAGACGCAGTCAGTGACCGTTTCTCTAAAGTGGTCAGTTCCAATTTGCCTACAATTACACGGGCTCTCCAGTCCCCTTATCTTGTGCCGCTGTCTTAGTGGCTGAGCCCCCGAGCCCTTGCATTAACACCATTAATAGGCATTACGACTTCGACGGGGGCGTGGGGTTACATTGTGATACTCAAAGAAGGATAAGGTATAATTGGAGGTCACACCTCTTTAACCTCTAAATGTCAAATTAAGCCTTGATTTATGGGTAAATCAGTGAATTTATTTCCTCAGAACAAAGAATCCTCATCCACCTCACAATTCATGCACAACAGCAAATCTGCAGTTGTAAATATCATAAAGGTTTTTCATGATTTTTTACTCACTCTATGGCTAGGATTCTTAATAGTCATTTGTCGAACAAAATGATACGGAAATACCTATGATGATTACTACATTTATTTGCATTTCTAAGTGTGTCAAGTATACATGAATAAACACAAGAATGAATGGCTGGTAGGATGGATTCAGGACAGGTGGATGTATACGAAATGAAAAATTAAATACGGGATGTATGGATGGATGTGTACAGGATTGATGGATGGATGGATGAATACGGAATGGATGGATGGAGAAATGAATAGAGGGATGGATGGCTGGATGACTGGATAATTTAATGAGTGGTAGGATGAATAAATGAATAAATGAATCTGTAACGAATGAATGAATGAATTGGGGATCGGTGAATGAGTTGGAAATGAATGGATGGATGATGCTGCTTAAGTGCGCCTAACTTCTTATCCTTGACATAGCTTTTCCAACTAACAACCTATCAACTGAAGAACCTTATATCTAACCCTTAGATCAACCCTTGCATTCATTAACATTTGTTTAGCAACATACTTATAGGTGAACGAAGAAAATAATCCCTCACGTACTAACAAGTTTGCTGTGTTAAATTTTGGATAATGCAAACAAATTTGATTCCGCCTTTCAACGCACGACTTACCTTACAGCAAGGAGAAAACCATCAAGCCAAACACCAAAACAGAAAAGTGGAAACTGATACAAACAGAAACACATTTAAAAGAAAGCTGAATTTGACAACTGACACGAAAACTCACTCTTCTAGGCATTCGTTCAGTATGAAGCAAATTACCGCTTTGGTACAGATTTGCCAGAAGAGCTGATGTAATAACGGCAGGTAGGCTTGAAAATCCTAAATTCGATTGCGCACCTTGACATCAAGAAAAATGCTAATTGGCGGTTCAAGCGGGATAGAACGTGTGCCCCACCCCACTGGCTAGCGGTTGTGCAACCCTTCAGCCTACACAATCCTGGCAGCAAGGAGGGACGTGCGACCACACAACCGGCAAGGCGTTCACTTCAACCATGCCAGCATTCCACTATGAGGTCGCATACCCGTCCAACTTCCAACTTCTTGCAAATCAGGAAAGAACTTTCCACCAATCTGGCTATTGTAATTCCTTTTGTTGGGGAATTTACGAAGCCTAAATTATTGCGCACACGACTAGGGCCTTTGTTACTTGACAGTAAAGTCAAATTTGAGTATTTTTCTTAATGATTTAACAATTCATTAGAAAATAGTCACTGAACATTCTGAGAGAATTTCCAATTTCAGTGTATCTAAAATGCTACTTTACTATTGCAGTAAATTACAACGCACAAGTTCAAAGTTGATTGTCGAAGGTATTGTTTCTGGCACACCACCTGGCGCAAGGGTGGAGTTCCACCACATAACTGTGTGCATCTACACGGCAATTTGGCTGTTTTTATGATTAAAAAACCACCTTTTATATTGCTCGCAGTTGTTGAGGTTGTCCATTTGATACGTTCCCGCTAGCCTCTTTAAAGCTTTTAAAAAGGCATTCCATACAGATAAAAATGCTTACAGTCGTAGGGAAAGGGCATCCGAGCCATAAGTTGAACGAATTGCCACCGATAAAAGGCGCTGATGGTGGCATCTGCTGCACCAGAGCGACCCACCCACCGGTCATGCATGTACACACAGAGTGGTCACGATCGTGCAGATCTTTGCCTACGGAAAGCCCTGTTCGAAAAGTCGCCTGTGCGTCTACCTGTCCGGTTAGATCATCCACCCGATAACTCCATTCCATTAACATCGAAACTTCAAGACTTGAAAGGTTGGGAAGAAGCCTACACGCAATGCAATTTGCAGTCTAAAATGTGCGATCCCCATCGACGATCAAGTAGACAACTCCCGGTTGTCCTCTGGAAGCAACTGGATTGAAATGAAGATGAGTGAAAAGACATTGGGGAGGAGGAGGAGGAGGAGGCGGTTAGCGTTTTTATGGTGAAGGAATGCGATGAAGGAGAACAGGAATATAAAGTTAGATTTAGTGCGGGGGTAGGTCCCACAGGAAGATGCCGCCGTCCTCACTGACGGTGACGATGAGGCGTTGGTCAGGCGAGATCATGAGACGCGTGATGGGAGAGGAGTGGCCGAGACCCACATGCGTCACGTCGCCTTCGTTGTAGCGCCACACCTAGGGGGGGGGGGGTAGGGTTAAAGAGAGTCACCACACTCTCAGTGGCCCCAGTTCCTACCGCTACTGCTACCGGACAATTTTTGATCTTATCAGATCAGGTCAAGTGCTTTTTAATGTCGGTCTGTTTTTCGACATGAAGGGATTTGTATGAGGGGGCTACTTATGTGAAATTTTTGTTTTGATGTAAATTTATGCCTTCTGAGGTCAAGGTGCCTATACCGCTTGTACTTTGATGAAGGATAACAGTGAATCAGTTCATTTATAAACTAGGACTATGCATCCATTCTGTGATAAGCGTCGATAGCAGAGTTTTTATTCAATATGGTTTAACTTTTTATACTCTTTTTAATTAGCAGAAAGCCCGCCAGCGGGTCATTTGTCAGCCAAAACGGTGTAAAAGGGAAATCTGCTCATACGGCTGAAGCGAAACCACACTTCCGATTTCTCTATCCAGTCATCTTGCAATCAAGTGTGGGATAATTTAATTCCACAGGATGAAGAGGCGCCATCCGAAAGGACTTTGCATAGGCATTATTGTGGATTCACAGTCGGAATTTCAAAAAAATGGTGCTGATGAATAGTATTTTGAAAAGATAGTGATTGTGATGTCTAGGAGTAAACAGTGTCATCTTAATGAGTTTACTGCACCCTGTCGACACCAAATACATTCCTAAACAAAAGTACTTTGATTACCTTAGAGAGACGCCAACACATTCGCAACAACAACAACTGCAACTGAACTGGAACCAAAAGTTTGTGGAATTCATTAACCATGGGCGAGTCAGTGAGGCTGTACTATTCATCCTGCAATATCGTTAAACGAAATGTTCAAATACATAATTATTCGCTTGAACTTTGTCCTGCAGAATGCTTGTTGACCGCCTGGGCCGACAAACATCCTACTTGTTACTATAAGCGAATAAATGCGCAGAAAATTTTGTATCTCCTCTGGCATAAATTCGGGCCTTTCAAACTAAATGGAATGAGCCGTACAGCATACTGGAACTGCACTGTTCATGTCAACTTTGTTGACTACAACAAGAAGGTTGCATTGCCAACCAACCTACTAATAACTTACTACTGACTTTCTTTCAGTAGCATAACATTGATACGGGATAGCTTGCATAGGATTTTTTGCCCATTTGATCCTGTGGAAGGACCTCCTGAGGGAGTGTGATTTCTCTAAGTTTGTTTATCAGCATACGTGAATCACTATTCTTGTAAAACTGCCGACTGAATAGGTTTTGCTGGCACCTCATAAATTTAAATACCCGAGGGCGCGTAACTGAAGATAAGGGTAAAAAGATGAGCGATTGGCTCACTTTGACAATTTTATCGTCGCCACCGGTGACAAAGATGGCACCATCCTTGGCGATGTCCATGCCGTTGATGGAGCCGGAGCGGGAAGCCTCCAACTCGCGAATCTGCGAACCGTCGTACATCTCCCAGTAGCCGATCTTACGGTCGGTGCCTGCAGTCAACAGTTGCACCTCACTGGTGTGGAAGCATACCACCCGAAAGAGGGTGTTCGCGAATATTATCTGCATTCGTGTGAATTCTCTAAAAGAAAACCGGAAGAAAAGCGTCCGTTAGCTGGTAAAAAGTGAAACACTCCAAAGAATTGCAATTTTGAATCTGAATCTTTTTCAATTTAGATGAGAAATAAAAATACCCGCTTTATCAAGTTGTAAAAACAAGTTTATATGGTCAACACAAGTTTTCCGTCTAAAGTAGTACTGGATATTGTCAAGCAGAGGCCAAAATTTAAACATTATGCAGTGTTGATTAAGTAGAAATCACATTCTGTGACACAAAATGAAAAAGTTAAACATAATTTGCTTGAAAACTAGTATTTAAAAAAAACTAATCAACTCAGGGCCTAGAAGAAAAAAGAGCCACAGTTGCCAGCCTCTAGGCAACTTGCTTTCAAAGGGCGAACACTCAGGCAGTGGAGTTTGCAAAATCCCGATTTTGCGTGTAAGGAATTATGCCAACGTATAATAGTACCCTCCTAACAGAAAATCTACGTAAGGGAATTAAGTGGTTGAGACGACAGTCCCATCTAAGTCTTGAAATCCACGAAGCTATAACAACTTGTTTACCATAATGTCAAGAAGGAGGAAGAAAGCGAACACTTGGCTGAAGTCCACTAAAGCGTATAGTTGATTAAAGCACCACAACGATGGATTATTGAGGGCCAATTCAAAAAGAAAATTCAAAAGGATATCACGGAGTCGAACATAGCCTTAAATAATAGTCTTATTAAAAAGACTAGTTCTGCCGCCTTATGACATCTTCAGGGATAATTTGGGTTTTACAGAAATACATTGGGGACTCACACCAAGCTCCAGACAATGCACGTGCCATCAGCAGAGGAGGAAGCGCAAGCGTTGTCATCTTTGGTGATTTTAATGCAGGAGACGGTGTTGGCATGCTCTTTTAGGGTAGCGAGGAGGGTGGTGACAAACATGGACTGCTTTGCCCCCGCCTCCCCCTCTGCCCTGTCGCCACGACACCGGTGACCATACAAACGGTCCTTGCGAGATGCCTTGTTTAGTATCTCGCGGACCTGCCAGACGCGCACTTGGCCCTCGCCGCCACCCGAGATGAGACGGCCGCCGTTCGCCGTCGCTGCTATTGCCGTCACTCCCTTCT